TTGCGTTAACGTCGCGGTGCCGATTGTGATAAGCGGTCGGGGTAACGATTGCGATAAACGTCGCACACGGTCGCTGCGATAAACGTCGAACACGGTCGCGGTAACGATTGCGATAAACGTCGAACACGGTCGCGGTAACGATTGCGATAAGAACTAACCTCCAGAATCGCAAGGTCGAACTCCTTGCGCTCAAAGAGTCGTATCCCACTTCTGATATGAAAGCTATAAAAATATGCTTAAGGGGGTGTCAGGATTCAAATGCTAAAAGATTATAACACGGATTAGAGTATCACTGTGATTTATTAGACATTAACAACAAAACGTCGCCGAAGCGTAAAACGGTTATAAAACTACAAAAGTACAGACGGATAACGGCGGTTCGACCGAGAGCACATGCGTCGTGCTCTGCGGTATCGGCGAAACAGAACGATGACAGTCGATGTACGAAGTACGGCAGCGGCGACAGACTATCCGCCGGCCGTCCAGTGCTGCCCGAGTGTACAAAAAAAAGATCGCTAACAAACTCTTGTCACAAGTGGTATTTTAGGGGTTTTCATAAGAGTTCTCGCATCTTTAGGAAGTTTAATCACATCAGATGGATTACATTCACTTAGAATTTAAAGTAATTTGGTAGCTACATTAAGAGGGACACAGTTAATTGAAACCCAATGTGCTAGTTTACATTGAAGAGCATTTTCTTCATACAGTTTACTACTATCCTCCATTTCAATTTCGCTTTCCAACCCATTTTCACTTTCAGATGAGGTAGTTTCAATATCACTTTCATAGGGGGTAATGTTAAAATCGTCAAGCTATTTTCGTGTTCAATATTTTCAACTACATGTGATGGTGTTGCAGTACTTTTTATTATTTCAGGGCCGTTTAGTTCATTTATACCATTTAATCGTCTATAATGTTGAGCTCGACCTAAGTGTTTAAAATCTTTATAAGGATGTTTAGGCATACTTAAAATATCAATTTCAATTTTGGTGTGAGGCTGATCTTGTACACCGTACACTGCTAGGAAACACTCACAGAATAAAATAAACCACAGTATACAGACACAAAGTACAAATTAGTGCGACAACTACGAGTAAAGACGATAGTTATCAGACATTCTGACAAACGATAAATTAAATAACAAAATACCCACATTAAACTAATAATAAATTAAATTATCACATAATATTAAGTATTAAGTATGGAGTAAAGTATATACCTTAATAATAGAAAAAAGATAAAACTGTGTCCTTGTGATAAAACTTTTAGACATAACAATATTGTCAATTATTATTTATTATCTGCTGTTATTATTTATATTATTAATAATTGATAAAAAAATGATAGTAAGATACAGCGCCCCTCTACTACAAATTACGTACTACAGTTTACAGTCTACGCATTCCAGCTATTTATATTATACGTCTATTATACATAAATATGCTATTTACAAAAATACATTTATAATAATCATTATTTTATATGTCTAATAGAAGTATTCTGCTAGACCTGTAGAATTCATAGACATTTGAGACTTCCACATAGACATATGTACCCAAGTTTGACGTCTCGTAGCCTTTACATGTTTGCTGGGATAGGTAACATAGTATAATATAGTATTTTTATAATTGTACTGTTTACACAAGTTATTTAAAAATAAATATAAGATAGAGAGAACACTCTACATACCTTCTTGCTCTTGACAACCTATAGTTAAAAATCCTTTTTCTTTGATCAATACCACGTCCCGGTAAAGGTCTTTTTGTAAATTTTTATGTAGACCAAAGTCTTCATCTCCAATTACGACATATGGCTGAGGGTTGTCACTGGTATTTGGCAAACAAACCGGTGCCGGTAAGCCAAGTTGTTCTGAATATAAAACTTTTCCGAAGGGACATTCTTTAAAAACAGTGGAATCAGCTTCTCGTCCGTATGATAGATATAAAGCAGTTATTCTGCGTCCACTACTGCCATTAGAACTATCGAGAAAAATTTCTTATAGTTAAAATAAATTGATCCCGAGTTTTTAGGATTTATCATAGAAGCTTTCCGTCAACAGCTCCCACACAGTTGGGAAATTGGGTTTTTGTAAAAAATTTGTCTGCTACATCACGCCACTGTTCGGAACTTAGTTTTGGCATTTCAGCTTGCTGCAGATTATTCCAAATTACTTCACACGTTACTTTAATAATTTTGCTAATAGTGCTTCTACCAAGTGAAAATTCATAGGCAATAAAATTTATGCCAACTGACAAAAATCCGTAATAAAACATAAATTTAACTTAAATATCTATAGAAAAAATTGTTTATATATTTTAGAGCATTTTTGGTTACAGTATGAACTATGAGAAACATTGTATTCAATTTTCTTATTTTAAATATAAAAAAGGCGGGTAAATGGATGTCGCTCTCCTGTACTGCAGTAGGATTCAAGTGGATCACCGTATAATGGATGGTATTAAATTTGAATTCAATGATATAATATCATTGTATAAGATAAACAATTCTGAGCAAAGACGGTCAGTCAGCCTATGATAGTACTAAGTATATTTGATGATATTATTGTGAATAAAGTAATTTATATATAACCTATTTACGTGGAACCTTGTCGTCGAGCACTAAGAAGAAAGTTCAAACAACTTCATTTCAAGATGCTTTACTAGACCCAATAACAAACCCTCCGTTATATTTTAAACACCACCTGAAGTTGATGACCCAGATAAAGCATTTTTGCTATCATTTTTACCGGACATTAAAAAATTGAAGGATGAACAAAAAATGGAATTAAAATTTCAATTTTTTCAATCCCTCAGAAGCATTACACAATCAGTTTCTCAACCACAAAATATCTTTAATAGTCCTTTCAGTTCAAACAGTTCAGTATATCACCACAATATGACTCCAAATTTTCCATATCCTTACAGCTATAATAGGACCTACCTATAGGATCATCCACTGTGACTACGTCATATGCATTTCCAGGACCACTCACTCAAAATTCCTCATACACTGGACCACCACAAACTCAGCAAAGTCTTGAACAATCTAATAAAGACCAATATTTATTTAATTAATTTTCCTTAATTTGTTAAGTTCATATCAAAGGCTGATTGACTTATAGGTATATAATAATGTAATATGTAATTTTATTTTTTGTTTTTTATTTTTACATCTATTTACAAACTTTTTATATAGGTATTTCAAAGAAGAATGAATATTTTTAAATTTTAAAAAGTGATATGTTTTTTTTTTATATGTTATTTATTTCAATCAAATTGTCAATATATTATAATATTTTATTTAAATATACTTTAATCCGAAATTACCTTGTTAAATGTTGTGATAACTCACTTTCCCACAAATAACACACATAGTATTTTTAATTTTATAGTTTAATAAATTAATTGTTTGAGTAAGGTTTTTTTAATTAATATTGCTTGAATCTACTTTAAATTACCTCAATGTAACGGTGAGACGTTCTTCTGGACTTAGCGTTACGAAATGTAGTGTTTTGTTTTTTTATAAAAGCTCGTATTTTTTCCAATAGTTTGTCAAAAGAACTGATTGACTTTCAATAATATTCAAAAAAATTTTCGGGATAACACCTTATTTTTTCATAAAACATATTAAATTTGTTTGATTCTTCACGGTCTGAATTTATTGGATGCATCCAGTATTTTCGGTTTTGCTTGGGTGGATCTAGCTCTCCACAAGCTTCAGCAATGGCAATTACTTTGAGTAAATTGTAGTGGTAAACAGCATGGTTGAAATTGATTCTATTTAAATGTATATTGATTAAATATATTTCTTAAATATTTAATACGTATGATCAAGTAAAATATTTACTCAATAGGTAATATTTATAATATCTTTGATACTTACATATTATTAGCACTCTGCATTATATTTAATTGAAATCAATTTATAGATGGGTTCAAAAAAGAATGTAACAAATAAATTATTTTAGAACTTATAATTATTATAAATACAAAGAAATAATTATATATTTCTAGGTTATAAGATATTTAGATTCTTCAGTTTATGAATAAATTAACAAAATTACGTGTGTTCATCACCAAATTCCAAATGGGAATAAAACGAAAAAAATGGAAACGACAAACGGTTTTGCCGTCTTAGTGTGGCGCAGCCACTCGAACGGTTTTTCAAGCGCCGGAGGTAAAACCGTTCGGCTTCAACGGCGAAAATACCGCAGTTTGGCCCGACCCTAAGCGGTCCTCACACGATCAATATTACTGACACTATAAATATTGACAGTATTTACATAACTGACAATATAGTCCTCAAACGGTCATTACAAATTACATTCAATACTCAGTATTTTTTACTTTCGCAGTAGTTCATATCGATTGTTGTCTATTGATACTGTAAATTATTTAATTAGTTTAAATAGTATAAATATCTTTAAATTAACAAAAATGGATAAGAAAAATGCGTGCATTTCAATTATAATTGCTCTTGCTGTAACAAAAAAAAAAGCAGACAAAACGTAAACTATGGATAAAAGAATGGATTGCTAAACGAAAAAAGTACACTCACTTAAATATTTTAAATTGAATAAAATTATCTGATCCAAACGATTATCAAAACAATTTTCATATGAGCGATGTTATTTATAATCAACTTTTAAACATGCTAAGACCTTTTATAACCAAAATGGATACGAATATTAGAGACAGTATTTCTGCAAACGAAAAGCTTGCGGTTCAGTGGCGCAACTAGAGTTCACACCTTGGGGGTGCTACAAAAAGGAAACCTTTATATAGCCGTGGGGGGCAACGCCCCCCCATTACAAATTTAAAATATTTTATTTTGACTATTATTATTAGGTATATTCAAATACTAAAACATTTTAACACATTTTATTTTTATTTATTGTATTTTAGATTTAAAATTATGAAAGTGTTAAACATAATCTTCTGTCAATCTTAGCAAATGTGTTTAGTATTTCTTCGGGAACAATTGTGTTTGCAATATCTCTCTCAATATTCATTACACTTAAGTAACAGTTTTTTTTCAAAATATTGACTTTTTTCAAAATCCGTGTCCATAAAACTGTCAATAGCTTTAGCCATATGAAGATTTTCTGTTGAAAATCTAAACTTTAGATTATTGATAATTGTATCAATAATCGGAAAATAAACCGTACGCCTCCAATATGCTTCTGATACATCTTGATCTTGTTCATCAAAATTAGCACTAGTTGTGGTTTCCAAATGGAAATTCATCAAATTAGTCGGCTGAGTTCTTTTCCGTTTTGTTACTTAATTTTTTTTTTTTTAATAATTAGCTTTAAATTTGTATAGTAACTATAACAAAGAATCAAACTTACTAGGATGAGAGACTTCTATTGATATGTCATTTGTTTCACAAAATTGTATAGTTTTTAACCATAATTCTGAGAATGACTTATCCGTTCTCATGTTTTTAAATGAGTCAATAACACTATTAATAATCATTTCGGCCTTCCCTAATGTAGCTGTCTTTGATTGTAGAGTTGTACTTTAGATATTTACAACTCCTAAAACATCTCTTAAAACCATAACTAAAATTACAAATTGGCATTTTGTTATTTGACTAATAATTCCTAAAAATAAAATATAACTTTTTTGAGTTCTCAATAACATTTCATTTTTCATTATTTATTATATTACCTATAGCTTCAGCTACATCTTTATCAGCTTCTTCTTCAATTTAATTTTTTAAAAATTTAAAAATTGCTGAATAATTGTTTATCATTGAATTGCAATTTCGATATCGACAAACCCATCGCGTATCACAAACTCTTATTACATTGCCTTTCTTTAATCCTAATTCAGTCTGAATTTCAAGTAATTTTGAGTTGTTACATGGTCGAGAAAAAAGCACATAGAAGGACTCCAAAATATTAAAAACATTTCGAGCAATCTAATAAACAAAGTATATAATAATATATTATAATAAAAAAAATATACTTTTAGTATAGTAGTATGTGTTAATGTTCTACAAATAGTTAATTAAAGCATATTGTACCTTAATTCCTTTGCACATATCCAGAACCATTAAATTTAACCTGTAATGAGTATATATGGCAGAAGGAAAATATTGTTTTATTTTGGCTTGAACACCATTAAGACACCCCGATATTACGCTTGCACCGTCATAGATTGTGCAACAATTTTTAACGATTTCATGTCAAAATTTAATTTTTCAAAGCATTGAAAAAGGGCCGAGACTATGTGGTTTGCGTCTTGCCCATCTGAGACATCCACAAACTCTAAAAACCTTTCTTCTATGTCTAATAACGAATCGAACACATATCGAAAGTTGTTCTTATTTATGAGATCTATAAAAAATTAATCTTATATTAAACAAAAACTTTTTTTTTTAAATTGAATTATGTATATCCTACCTTGCTTCATCCACCATTATTGCAAAAAATCCAGTTCTTATTATTTTTCTAATGATAGCCAATCGTATATTATCTGCACTTATTTGCAATATACTTTCTTGTATTTTCCAACTAGTGGAGTTTATTTTCTTTTCATTCTTTGAAGTCCACCACACATTTAGAGAACACATTGCAAAGTTCCAAAAAATTACCTTATGAATATTGAAATATTGTTTTATTAGTTATATTATTTATTGCTTATAATTTATATATTATTATATAAATTTAGTACCTTGGTTGTATGAATCAGAATCTTCACGGTGCCCCCTAAACGAAACACCTTGTTTTGCAAGATACAAAACTATTTCTATTAAATTTAAATATACTTGCGATTTTTAATAACTATTTCACTTTGAGCACTTAAGATTTGAGATTTAACACTACCCATTTTTTTACTTGATTTATAAGCTTCCATTTTTGATACATTTGTTAAATGATTTTGGGACGTTTTGTGCTTATTTAATTTATCAACAAACTGGGATATATGGAAAATGTATAAATATAATGATTAGTGTAAATACCTGATGCCTAATTAATTTTTAATATTATTTTTGAAAATAATATAAACTTGCTTTTTGCCAATTACTAAGTCCAGTCTTTGTCCATGTTGGTTCAACATCAACCGTACCAAATATGCGACAGACATAACAAAAATCAGCAAACTAATTTAGTGCTATACCTACTCTAGCCATGCACATTCAACAAACCATTGTTTATTAAATGATCTGTATTGCTTCCCAAACTTTGTTTTTGGATAAGCCTAAAAGCATTTAAGCATATGCAAAGCACAAAGCAGTTTGCAGTTACATAAATAATAATGATGTAAAATAAAACTAAGATAGTAGGTACTTACTGCCAATATAGGGCGGTATGGTCCATTTTCTATATCTCCTAATTCTAAATTCAAAATTTGAGAGCTACATACATTTTCATTGTCAATGTTAACGTTAAGGTAGGTAACATTTTGTTCTTGTTTACACAAACTACGTGAAGTGCTTGGACCAGGATCATCAACAGTTTCACTGTCTGAATGGTCTGACGTACTTTGAATACTTTTTTTTTTATTATTTGTACTAAAAATGCTGAACATTATGAATATCGAATAACAAATTTAATAACTGCACTAAATTAAATAACGAACACTTTCAAATTTGAAACGAACAATAAACAACTAGCAAGCTAGTGAACGCGGACCCGGTATTATCACTTATTAGTTATTATTTATTACAATCGCCGAATCGCTGTCACGATTAAAGATAGCACTATCTTTAATCGTGATCGCTGTTTACCGTCTAATGTAGTAATGTCTATGATAAAAGATTACAAATTACAATTAAATATTATCTTTCAGTAATCTCAACATGACGATATTATGTTACTTATTCACTATAATCATAGACCCATTATCATGTCTATGACTATAATAGTAATAATAATATATTGAAATATAAGAAAAATATGACATAATGATATCTTAAAAAAAATTACATTGTTAAAACTTACAACTATAGATATTTTAAATTATAAAGGCATTTGACTTGGGGGTGCTTAAATTAGAGTTGGGGGTGCATAAGCACCCCCTAGAACCCCCGTAGTTGTGCCACTGTAGGCATAATGTAATTTGACTGGTCACAAGACCCAACCTTGGTTTTATTACATGTAGTTAGTTTAGATTTGTATTTGTTTTTTTTTTTTTTTTGTCATATTTGTTTTTATTTGTACAATCTGTATAAAAATATAATTACAATAAGCGCAATGGAGGGGAAATACAATTATAGGGCATTGATCAAGGTTGGCTTGAAGAAGAAGCTATTCATTAATAGCACTTCGTAACGGGATGGTGGACTAGTCGACTAGTAGGTCACGGCACCATCTACGCTTTAAACGTCGGCCAGGGTCGCCCGGGATTGTTCGGGGAGATAGGTTTTGGATGAGAGGGTTTCGGTGATTTGAAAGTTTAAGGTGGAAGCGTTTATATAGGGTTTGGGCGACGTTTTTTACTGTCGGAATGAGGAGGTCCCTGTGGAGGGTATCATTTGTAACATAAAAAGGGGCTCTAGTTATCAGCCTGAGGCATTTGGATTGAAATGTTTGGATTCGGTTTATATTGGAGTCTTTGGCTGAACCCCAGAGTTGGATTCCGTAGGTCTAGATAGGTTTGAGGAGTACTTTGTACATGAGGATTTTATTGTGTAGTGAGAGATGTTTGGATGATAGGAGGAGGCGAAGTTGTCTTTGACGATTATTTAGTACAAGTCGTTTGTTACGTATGTGGGTAGCCCACGTGAGTCGACGATCTAGGCATAAGCCTAGGTAACGGACATTTTGAGCGGTAGGGAGAGGTCGGTTGTTGAGTGTGATAGAGGGACAGCTTATTGGTCTGAGAGTGAATGTGCTGTGGATGGATTTGGATTCATTGAGTTTGAACCCCCATTCTTTGTACCATGTCGAGAGGATGTCAAGGTGGGTTTGGATTCTGCTGGATGCCTCGAGAGGGTCATGGTGAAGAGCCAGGATGGCTTTATCATCGGCGAAGTCACCGGTGGTGGTGAGGTTGGTAGTGGGTTGGTCTAATGTGTACAGGTTGAATAAAAGAGGTGCCGCTACAGCTCCTTGCGGTACTCCAGCTCTAATTGATGATATGTCAGATAGGACTGAGCCATATCGTACGGAGAAGTGCCTGTCTTCTACATAGGACTTGAAGATTAAGTAGAAGCTGGGTGGAAATATTGATTTTAATTTGAAGAGGAGGCCGTGATGCCATACCTTGTCAAACGTTTGTGCTACGTCTACGAAATCCGAATTTATTGTCTGGAAGGTTTGTGTCAATGATTGGGAGTAGGCATTTAAGTGTGAGTTTTTCAAATACTTTGGAGAAGAAAGGTAGAAGGCTTATTGGTCTGTATGAGCTGGGAGAGTCAGCGGGTTTCCCGGGTTTGAGTATCATAAATATGATCGAGAATTTCCAAAGTAGAGGAAAGTATGAGAGTCTGAGCATGGAGTTGTAAATGTGCGTGAGTGATAAGATGGCTTTTCTGGGAAGTTGGGAGGCGACTTCTGATGTAATGAGGTCGTAACCTGGGGTTTTATGACGCGCAGATTTATTGATTTTAAATTCGACTTCACTGGGTCTGATATGTTTTGGCGGAAGGGTCATAGGTAGTGGACTGGATAGGAAGTGGTCGACTTCAACTATTTTGTTACGGGGTATGATGTCAATATGTGGCTGGAACGTTGTGTGTAGGTGATGACGAAAAGCATTAGCTTTTTCTGAGTCACTGATAAGCCATGTGCCGTCAGGGTTTCTCAGAGGGGGTACTGGTGGTTGAGAGCGGAGAATTTTTCTGGTGTTTTGCCAAAGAGAATTGTCGGTGGTGGAAAGGGATTCGAGATGGTTTGTTAAGTTATCGGATTTGATTTTAGCTAGGATTCTTTTGAGTTTATTGGTGAGGTGATTAAATAGTCGTTTGTCAGAGGGATATTTAGTTCTTTGCCAAACAGCGTGTGCTTTTCTTTTTTTCCGATATTAGAGTTCTGACAAAATGTGGAAGATCAGAGGTGGGTTTATTAAGCTGGTTAGGAATAGTGGAGGAGGACCAAGCTGCTTGTTGAATTGATGTTTTGAGGGTGTGAACAGCGTCGTCTATGTCTTGAGTTGATTTTAGTCTACTTTTGAGATCTATACGGTTAACGAGTTGGGTTCTGAAGGCTTCCCAGTCCATACGACCTTGAGTGAGACTAGGTTTGTTCGGCTTTTTAGAGGCAGCGGTGTCTATTGTGAGAAGGACTGCCGAGTGATCAGAGCATAGATCATCGAGGTTGGTTATTGTATTTGTTAATGTTTATTTATACCACATCTGTATCATTTATATTATAAATATATTTTCATAGGATAAGTTGTCTAATGAACGTGATAATGAATGTGATATTATTGAAGTCCAAACAAAATGTAGACTCTGTTCATGGTTTTATGCATACCAAGTGTATAAATAATAATTGTTTTAAAAATTTATTCGGTCTTCTCAACAGATTATCTACATTTTTAGTAGGTCATATAAAGGAATGAATGTATGGGTAAATGAAAATAAACTAAATAATAGTATTGGATCAGAAAAATTAAAAATATCTGAATCAAATACAAGGTGGTGGTCAAGAAAAAAGCACTAGATTGGGTTTTTGATGGTGATGGCGCTTTATTTCCTGTTGTATTAAGTGCATTAAATCATATTACTACAGACTCTTCATTTGATGCTAAATGTTTATCTGAAGCACGATACTTAATAGGCAATTTGTGTGAATTTAAAACAATAATAACTGCTCATCTCTTCCTCCACATTTTCAAAGTAATTAGTCCAACTTCTGATTATTTACAATCGAATAACATTGATATTTTAAGCTCATGGACTATGGTTGAAAATGCAAAAAAAACAAATGAACAAAATTAGTTTTGATACTATTTTTTCAGATTCTCAGGGCTTTAAGGAAAAATTGAATATAAAATGCTATGATCTAGATTTACCTGATCATATTGTTGTTGAAAACGTTTTCCCACAACAAAGGGTTCGACATAGAAAACGGCAATTTGATGAACAATCAGAACCTCAAGTTCTCATGCAAGGTCTTGACAAATTTAAAGTTGATACGTTCCGCTGTGTTATTGACCAAATATCAATTAGTCTAAATGAAAGATTTTCACAAAACGAATCTTTGATTGCAGATGTCCAATACTTACATTCTTCATATTTTATGAATATTAAAAATACAATGCCTCCAAATGCACTCAAATTAATTGGAAACTTTATAAATGTCGACTTTACAGTACTACAAAATGAGCTATTAAGTTTTTCAAGAATTTTTCCAAATATTATTGGTAGTATTTCACAAAGAACATCAAATTTAATAAATAGCACAAAATCTAAGGTTATTGAAACTGATATTGAAGTAGAAAATGATGAAATTAGAGATGTTAAGTTCGTGAACGAATAGTTCATTTGAACTATTCACTTTGATGAACTGTTCTGAACTGTTTCAGTACCTGTAACTTAACAGTTCACAAATCAAAAAAAAATTGGTAGCATTGTTTTAATAATATAGTTCGTGAACGTTTTAGGAACTTCAGCTGAGATCAGATCGGAATATTATCATAGAACAATATTATAATGAATTAGATTTAAGGTACCTACTACCTTGTTCATGTAAATAGGTTTTATCACTGGTACGAAAATTCGAAATCCTGAAAACAGCTGTTCACAATCAGATAAAATAATATATTAGAAATAAAATATATAGATAATAGATATTAGGTATTAGTTATATATTATTATTATAATTGTTACTATAATATATATTGCCTATATTATATATCTGTGGATTGAACTTAATTAATAGTTACTAGTTAGTCCACACTCCACCATAGAACAGTATAGAAGCGAAACTCGATCAGCTGATTGGGGTATTGGTTCCCTATGATCTGAAGTCTGAACCTACGAAAAACATGGAATTGGTTCCCGCACCAACATGATGTTAGACCCGTATATTATAAAATTGGTTCCAAGACTATGGCGTTATACAGGTATAACGGTGACACAGACCACGAGGTTTAACAACGCGACGACTTAAAACCGAAACGCATCGGTTGTAGGTACATGTGGTTTGGTCGCCCAACCCCGTGAAAACGCGGCGAGCGAACGCAACGATGCGTCGGGCTCGACCGCCTGGAAAAGACACGCGAACTAGGTGGCACAGCCTACGGCGGCGAACGGCCAGGCGCTGGACATCCGAAGCGCAGCTTTGGGGACATATGCCGAAACTAGGATGGCGGGAAAACGCGTCCGTGTTCGAACAATAAATATATAGATTTTAAATGTATTTAAGAGTATAAAAAGTTTTTAAAGCCAGTAAACATCTTATTGTATTATTTTAGTTATATGTAGGAATTCAAAATAAAATATTTAACTAAAATATAATTATTGGTGTTCTTTTTGTTTCTAGACAAATTGTATTAATAATTTTAATATAACTAAAAATAAAAATTTGTAATTACCCTTTAACAATTTTTTGTAACCTGCTCATCAATTTGTTTTGATCTACTGACTGTCATAGGTTTCTTATTTTGCATAAAATGCATAATGCTACTTTGTGTTTGAGTAGGTTGGCTTGGTTTAACGCCGCTAGTACCAGGAACAATCAATGTTTCTACTGGTGGACCTGCTCAGTTATTCATTTAAAATAACATAAAGGGTTTTAATAATAGTAAATTTAAAATTAATAAAAGAAAAATAATAGTACAAAACAATTTATTAAAAAATACCATCATCTGCAGGACTTTCATCACTAGTCACTATTGCTTTTGATATTATTACAGCGGGATGTACAGTTTTTAAGTGGCGTCTCAAATTGCCAAAATATCCACCAGCAACACTGTACTTGTTACTGCAATACCCACATTTGGCTTTACTATCTTCCAATTCAGTAAAGTGATTCCATATATCACTCCTTTTACGTGGGGCCATTATTAACAATTTATAAAATGTACTTTTAATTAAAATTATTTAAACCTGGAAAATTCACTACGCTCAATAAAATAAACACTGTTCACTGTTAAATGCAAATGCAGATACTGTAATAATATAGTATATATAGTATATTAATGCATACAGTCATAAAAAGACTAGGTATAGTTATACTGGGTATGGTTTCAAATGTGTGCATGATTTTACATGTCTACACTTGTCATTTTACAATATTATTACCACTCATATTATTGTTTGAAAAGTTATATTACCAATCTAATTATATAAGATTATCATTATCGTTTGAAAAAACATATTTGTTTTAATTTCTTTACTTATATAAAATTAAAATTTAACAGAATACCAATTTGGTCCTCTTCAAAATGTTGCCACTTCTCACATAATTAATGAACATAAGGATTAGGGATTAGGGATGTAATTTTTTATTAAATAATAAAAGTAATTATAAAAGTATTTATTGAATGTAACTAACAAAAGACAAACAAATAATGTGGTAAACAAAAATATTAAAAATTATATTTAAAAAAAAACCTTTTAAGATTCTGCTTCGCCATTTCTTCTTGTTTTATTTTAATAACTATTGTAATTAATTATTGTGTTAGTAAGTAATAGTATGAGCTAGGTAAAAAAATGTATCATACAAAGAAAATAAAGAAATATATTTATTGCATAAAAATAATTGTATTTTATAATTAAGTACTTATAACCACTATCCAGTATCCGCTATCTTATATATTATGTTCAAATAATTTATTATTGAATTAATGATTCTTAATTGTCAATAATTTCATCTTTATTTGTACCTACACTAATTTGCATTTTTTTCTGCAACATATTTTTAAACTTAATATATAAATATTTGCCATGTATTAGAATTTTGAAATACTTTATTATTTGGTAATTAAACAGTTGTTAATTAAATCATAAATTAATGTAATTATTTTACTAGGTAAGAAATTATTAATTTAAGAGGTGTATTCAATTTTCAAATTTGGTTTTAATTGATTAACAAGTGTACTGGGTTCCTATAGAGTATAGAGGTCTCGAAGTCAGTTTATTATTAGTAATAATAACTTTTATAGACAAAGAAGTTAATTAGGTAATTAATGTTTAATTCCCACATAGGTCAACAACTCAAACATCTAGATGCTAGATAGCCAATAGGTAGGTATAGTTGATACTTGATTTTAAACTTTTACTAATTTTGGTACTTACTACGTAATACCTATGATAATAATGATAATTGTAATAATTATTTTTAATAATGATACTGATATTTATGTAATCGTATCATATTTATTATGATTGTAAACAGCTGTTTTCAGGATTTTACTAGTAGACGAATAGTTCATTACTTCATTAGTCTAATAGTCTATTCAGTTCATTGCCAAACCATATCAGTTTCTGTATGATCCATACAACTAATGAACTATGTGAACTGAAGAATAGTTCATTTGAACTATTCACATTAATGAACTGTGAACTATTGAACTATTCACAAAAATTAACTAAACTTTCCATCTCTACCGATTTGGCCATAACACACAGTGTCTAAGGCCTGCTAAGATAGAGCTTTACCTGTAGCGACATCTAGCGGACTTGTTTGTTACGCGGCAAATATGAATATTAAAGAATAGAGTATAGGTCTCTTCTTTACATCTCCCCCCCTTAGAGAGAAACAATTGTAAATTTTAATGCAATCAATTGTTTATTTACCATCAAGCACTGGAGACAGTTTTGTAACGTGGTAGAGGTTTGATTCTACTTTATTGTGTCCGGTATTAACTTCATACACTGAATTGGAGATCTTCTTATATTAGTATTTCGTATGGTCCTATCCTTAATTCATCTAATTTTTTCCTATTTAGTCGATTTCCATTTTCCACATAGACTGTCTCCTACTTTGAATTCATAGTCCTCTCTATGCAAGTCAAATGTTTTTTTATTATAATTGTGTGATTTTATTGTGTTTCCTAGAGCTATTTTCCTATCTCTTTTCAGGTTTTCTTTTGTACATCATGACTTTAATTCAAATGACAAAACATTTACGTTTTCACCTTCTAAAAGGTATTTTGGAGCAAACTTTGTGACAGTGTGTTCCGTTTCATTATATTTTTCTACACACTTGTTTGCAATCGGTGCAACTCGTTTGCGCACAATCCAAATTGTTACCTAGATATCGATGACTCGTTTGCGCACAACGAATACCGTCGTTAACCTAAAAACGGACGACTCGTTTGCGCACAACATAAACACTGCATAACATATATTTTATATTTTTAAATTTGGACTAACTTAAGTAATTGATTATCAGTACATCAGCATATCAATATTCAATATATCATTATCATCATTGAAAATAATCGACGTGTATTAAACATAATATTTTTAAGCAGTCGTTCTCCAGAAAGCGGTACTACCTACTGACTAGTGACTATGGATATCGAAATTTGTGATATTTTTGAAAGAGAATTTCGAACTTTAAAATCTAGTGATACACATTTTAGGTGTACAAATAAAAAATGTTCCTTGAGTGATGTAGTAAGGTTAGTTAATAATAAAAAAATATAAAATTTTAAAAATTAAAAACACGCATAGAACCACTATTACTTCTTATTAATTGTATAATTATATATTTATTCAGAACAGACACACACGACATGCACATTTTTAATCTGTACAAAACCGATGGTCCTAAGCCTATATTAAAGTGAGAAGAGAAATGTGCTGTTCTGCTCAAAGTGAAATGTGCGCAAATGAGTTGTACCTTTATAATTTAAACCCAAAATATGTGTGCGCAAACGAGTTGTGATTTTGTGTGCAAAAGTGCCGTAAAAAAGGTAAATGTGCGCAAACGAGTCGCACCCGTTTGCAATAGTCGTCAATGCTGTTTTTTTATCATTTTCATTTATTCTACATCTTATCTTGTTGACTAAAGTTTGATTTAGTCTTTCATTAAGTCTGTTTGAAAATGGTGCGTCCACAGCCGTGAAAACCATTTTTATGTTTTCATTCTTAAGAAATTGTTTAAATTCTGTGGAATTTATACCCGGGTATTGGTCCGTCAAAAGCATATCAACATTGTAGCCTTGTATCTCAGTTTTTACAAGTCTTATAAAGTCACTGGAGCTTTTGATTTTTGATGTGAAAATATTAGCATACCTTGTGAAGTGTTCAACCAGAAGGTGTAAATATTTTTTTGTTGACCTTCATCCTCCAAAACCTCCAATTTTATCAATCGATATAATTTCATATGGGTATGTGGCAGGACCTAAATGTGACATTAAACAGTATTTAGGCTTCCTTCTTGATTTGTTTTTTATACAGACTTTCCATTCATCACACACTTCCTTAATGTTTTGTATCATATTTTTTGCTGTGTAAAATGGTGTTATTTTATTTATCAATTGGGTTCTTCCAATGGGGCAGTACGTATCATGGACATCTTTTATTAGAGTTTTGCTAAGTTGTTCTGATAATACAATCTTTTTCCTTCTTGTATTCTTTTTATGATAAATTTCATTCTCTAATATAATTTTTCCATTTTGTAAATTTAGATTTGTGTGTTGATTATTTTTTTTTTTTCATACTTGTTCTTCCCAACAATATGTTCAAATTTCCTAGTTCATTGTAAAGATCTTGGTACCTTGTAAAATTTCTCTGTCAATTTTATCAGCCATATAATTTGGTAAATCAAATGCTATAAGGTCTATAAGTGTCCCAGTATCAATTGATTTTCTTACTTCCAGTAATAATTTTCTTTTTTTAAAGCATACTCAAGCAATGAACCTACTTGGTATTTAAATGCGAGGGCATATCTTATGGATGACCAGCCTTTGTTTGCAAAATATGTATTACAACGATTTTTCTTGTTTGATTTCTTTTAGTTAGAGTTTTCTTTACCTTGACATAGTTTGGACTTTTGGAGTTTTTAAAATCTCCTTGTGTAGACCTGTTGGGATTCAAGTGGTATGCCAAAAATGTTTCCATCGGGTGTAGCTATCGATGTAATACCAGTGTTGTGAAGTATTTGAGTAAAAGTATTTGAGTAAAAGTATTCAAATACTTTTTTCCGTATTGAATACTTTTTCAAATACTTTTATTTTTGAAGTATTTGAACGGTATTTTAAATACATTTTTTTACTATTGAATACTATTTTATTGAATACTTTTTTTATTCCTTCAACTTTTTATTCATTGTCAAAAAATAATAATGTCTTAATAATATTATAATATATATTTATCATTTATGAACAATTCTATATTGGTTTTAGTTTTCGTCTATTAATAGCTTATTAATATTAGTTACTCTGAGAAACCGTCTGTTTATCGTCGACACTCGACGACGATCGGAACGGTACGTTTCGGTACCTACTACCTACCATGGCTACCAATATAGTATATTATCATAGCGAAATATAATACGAACTACGAACATTATGTAGGTAAGGTATGTCGTATACGTACTGTGTACCGAGACAACATAATATTATGTTATGCGGGTACGACATACTTTTAATTATAAGCTCTAAATATAATATTATACAACACACACATTGTCACTTGATATTGATTCTGCTAAACAAAAATATTATTACTTATTAGTACTATACGTCTATACTTAATTACTGAGAAAATGGTTGTCAATTTATTATATTTATCGTTTATCGTCGACTGTACGGAATATCCGAATAAAGCTATTGCAGTATTGCCTATTGGCTAAATATAGCACCATAATACTATGTGGAACATGGTATTATCACTATTATCTTATTTTTATAATTTTATTAGAAAATATTATTATTGTGTGTACGAACTATGAATAGGTAACAAATTTCCAATTGGTCGTTAGCGCACAATCAGTTATAGTAGTTATACACTTTTACAGTATTGCATGTGGAACCCGACGCTGTTTTACACTATTGTAATATTTATTACTTGGGTTCGTTTTATTTGTATCGTGTTCTCTGTTTTCTACAGATTGTTAATAATTTTATTGCATCAACCATATTGGTATACTCTTGTTTTCATTATTAAAAAATTTTTAAATTGTAATACAATGAGTGATTGTGATTCTCCAACCCAAGTAGATCAAGTTGATCAGGTTGCACATTCAGAAGAACATATTTTACCTTGGCCAAATTATCAAAAATATTTTAAAGTTTTAAGAGTTATTGAGGATAATTTTTTTTATAAGAAGCTGGAAGTGAAGTGTTTAAGTTGTGTCGGTACGAAGTGTTACAAGGTGGATTCACGTTCAAACTCTAATATAAGAAAACATTTAAGCGTAAGTACAATTTTATTTTTATACCTGCCTATGACAGTTGGCCTATCTAAATAATAAAATAAATAACCCACCCCTCTTCCTCAAAAATAAATTCTAGTTGCGCCACTGATCAAAAAATGCAAATTATTTATCAAAACTTAAAAGATTATATTATTTTATTTTATTCAGAAACAACATCCAACTTTATTAAAG